CCTGTTTGCGTCAGAAAGAGTCGAGGACCTTGCAATTCAGTAGCTGCTATTAAATTTTTTATTTCCTCGTGCACACTTGACAGAAACGCTACATCGGAGGGTGTCTTCCACTTCCGCCCACGAGACTTGATAGGTACTCGCTAAATTTTCCCCTTAATCTCATCTCGATAAACGGAGACGAGAGCGCACAGGGGCGACTTTCAAACGTGGATTTCGTGACTGATGACCGCGTCTGCCCCGACCCTTTAAAAGGGGAGGCAAGGTTGCCTCCCAGTTTCACTTTCCCGCCCCGTGTGAGAGATCGGTACTGAAAATGACTTGGGGTTGAAAGAAACTCTAGTCCTTTGTGGATTTAGAAATAATATTTTCTCATGAAGCAGTCGGACGGTGATGGTACGAAATACAAAAATTAAGTCATACGGCAAAAAAAACATTGCATCTGAAGAAACTTCTTCCAAAGGAACAGATGGTCTACTCAAACGACACATGACTCAAATGACTCATGAGAAGAGGTTGCCTTTTTATTCCTACATCGATTTCGTATGTCAGAAGTTCTGGGGACGGTCGATCCAAGCTTCCCAGTCCCCCGTATTTCTCTTCCTAATCATGGCACCCCCAGTCTCCAGCACGATCGGCCGCGATTCCTTGTGCGATTCTTCCTTCTGAATCGAAGCTACGAATTAAAAAATGTTCAAATGGCTCTTCTGGGCATTCCTACATGAATTCTATGGTTCCATCATTCTATGCTGTTTGTAGTACTCGGCCCAACTTCACCATGGTTTTTTTTCCAAACTTCTTTTGACTCCGGTTCTCGCGCTTCCAGTGAGATATATACACGTAGACCTTGAGGACGAGATTTGAAAATGAGCACAGGGAGGGATGGTGAAATTGGGAGTAGACCTTGCCTCCCCTTTTAGTGATTCAGGCTGATATGGGTATGAAAATCACTCGTGGAAAGTATGCACTTTCGCCCCAACCGTGTGTATGTCAGAGATTAAATCACATCTTGTGATACTTGTCGATGGGAATGCGAGGGCGAGATTCCACGAGGACGAAAGTGGAAGTAACCCATTGGAGATACAAGAAACGTTCGACGAAATGAAAGGAGATCTCGCGAATCACTTCCATGGGTGAGGGCAAAGTGAACCGATGAAAACATGTTTTGTGAGAATTCCATGCGCCTGATGTAGCTGAGTGTGAAAAATGTCATTTCTGGCCGCAAAAGTAATAATGCCGACAAATATGTAAGATGCCTCAAGAATAAATATTTATAATAAAAACTCAGCGGTTGCAAATTAAAAGACAAAGGTTTCCGGAAATTTTTCTTCTCGCGAAGTTCAACATTCCAGCAATAGTTTAATATGGATTTGTACTTTACGCGCGAAGCGGTATGATCACGTTCTCAAGAGGGGATCCTCAAGGAATTATTCCATAATGGCTTAATAATACCAAATGAGCCAGAACTTGAATGAGGTACTTGAATGAGTCAATGCGCTCGTGCGACAGCATGTGCGTGTGGCAGTCCCAAATTTAACGAAAGGATAAGTAACTCCCTCGAAGAGTCATTTGTTGTTGTATCCAGGCGCTGTACTTGGAGGTCCTGGTGTAGGCATCGATGCCAGGGGCGCAGCCAAATAAGGCATACGAGGCGATCCCGGTGACGTAGGAACGACCTCCGTATCGCACCACCAGGGGTCCACCGCTGTCTCCCTGCGGTCCGTTCGCAAGCGGAGGGAAAGAGAAGATCAGACAGCCGTTCAGCTTACCCCTATGCAATGTTGGACGTAGGTCCTTGAGAGGTTCTTGGGTTCATCATGAGATGAATGATGGAAATTAATTATTAAGATATAGGGCAACCGTGTGTTTACAAGCAAAAATATATACGGGGTGTTCCGAAAGTTTATGACCTACTGAAATTTAAATAGAGCCGATATTAACGGGAATATATTTATTTATTACATTCCACGTGTTCAATAATATCATAGGTACCAACTCCTACGATATTACTTGACATGACTTCCTCGGACCCGCAGGAACCTCGGATCAGCGTCCCGAAGTTCTCAACCAACCGACGGATGGCACTCTTTGCGTCGGTTTCTCACTCCACTGAGAACTCCGGAAATGGCTGNGTTCTATAGATTTGTATACAACTTTTTCACGTGGGTACTAACATCGCCAGTTCCTTCTTCGCTCATCCATTCCACTTTTTCTGCTTCGACTTTTCCCAGTTTTTCTCAAGTTTTTCGCTCTCGTTTCTGCATGGTTATATTCCAGTCGGCATCTTTTAGTTAGCCTTTTTCCAGGAGATGCCTTCCCGACTCATTTCTTCGGCCATATTCCTGCCCCGCATGACCCCGGTTCGGCTTTATTTTGTTTGCGCTCGTTCCAGCGACGCTCTATTTCCATACATCGAAGTTACGTGCAAAATGTGGGATTTTAAAATGTGCCCACTCGAATGACCTGAATCCACGGGACAACCCCCGAACCCTCGAGGCACGAGGCATAGACGGCGATCCCCACGCTTCATCCCTGCAGCACGCGACGGCCGTTCATCGAGGACCGGGGGATCAGTCCCTCCGATCACCACCAGGTGTCTCTGCCTTCTGGTATTCCTCTCGTACCGTCGATGTCGCGATGAGCCGAGTTTTCTTCTTGTACAAAAATGTCACTGGTGATTCGACGGGGATTCAATTAGGTTCAACGGCAAATATACGGGTTATTGAAAACCGGTGGCTCAACGGTGAATCACCGTTCATTTGTGGTTTCAATTTCAACATGCTGAACTTTTCCTGTAAGGGTCCTTGCACGATATAGGCAGCGATGGGATTTGGAATCGTCCCAGATGAAAACTCGGCGTGCATGAAGCACACACAGGGGAAGTCTGGTTTTTTTTTGTGCAGTCGACGAACCGGCAACAAATCGGCGTCGGGGACCTACACCCACAACATCCGACTCTCTTCCAAGGACACGCGCATCGCCAGCGCCACCGTCACGAACGCGCGCGACGACGCATGGCAAGAGATGGACGCCGTTTCTTCGGGCAATTCGGGAGAAAGTGCATCGGATCGATTTGTCCCTTGCATATGTCTTGGATGCTCCCGATTCATCGGTGTCGGGTCTGAACGAATTCGGCTTAAGCTGTGCTTGGCTTCAAAAGAGTTCGAGGAATGCATTGTTACAGGCAGTTAGGAAGCCTTTAATCATCTTCACGAAGAGAAACACATAATCCATAGCTTTGCCACTGGTAATTCTAGCTAATGAAGATGTTGACCTTGGACTTCGATGAATCGTCTTACCTCGAGTCGCCCATGTTTCGCATGTGCTATATGTGATATGCCCAAGGAAATAGCCCGATGAGTGCAATTCCAAAGAAAACTTCGCCTTTGGCAGAAGCAAAAATCATTCCACTTTCTTTTGTTCGCCTGTTTGCGTCAGAAAAAGTCGAGGACCTTGCAATTCAGTAGCTGCTATTATATATATTTTTCCTCGTGCACACTTGACAGAAACGCTACATCGGAGGGTGTCTTCCACTTCCGCCCACGAGACTTGATAGGTACTCGCTAAAATTTCCCCTTAATCTCATCTCGATAAACGGAGACGAGAGCGCACAGGGGCGACTTTCAAACGTGGATTTCGTGAGTGATGACCGCGTCTGCCTCGACCCTTTAAAAGGGGAGGCAAGGTTACCTCCCGGTTTCACTTTCCCGCCCCGTGTGAGAGATCGGTACTGAAAATGACTTGGGGTTGAAAGAAACTGGGGCAAAGTGAACCGATGAGAACATGTTTTGTGAGAATTTCATGCGCCTGATGCAGCCGTGTGTGAAAAATGTCATTTCTGACAGCAAAAGTAATAATGCCGACAGATATGTAAGATGCCTCAAGAATAAATATTTATAATAATAAAAACTCAGCGGTTGCAAATTAAAAGACAAAGGTTTCCGGAAATTTTTCTTTTCACGAAGTTCAACATTCCAGCAATAGTTTAATATGGATTCGTACTTTACGCGCGAAGCGGTGTGATCACGTTCTCAAGAGGGGATCCTCAAGGAATTATTCCATAATAGCTTAATAATACCAAATGAGCAAGGGTACTTGAACGAGTCAATGCGCTCGTGCGACAGCATGTGCGTGTGGCAGTCCCTCCCTCTCTAACTCCCTCGAAGAGTCATCTGTTGTTGGATCCAGGCGCTGTACTTGGAGGTCCTGGTGTATGCATCGATGCCAGGGGCGCAGCCAAATAAGGTATACGAGGCGATCCCGGTGACGTAGGAGCGACCTCCGTATCGCACCACCAGGGGTCCACCGCTGTCTCCCTGCGGTCCGTTCGCAAGCGGAGGGAAAGAGAAGACCAGACAGCCGTTCAGCTTACCCCTATGCAATGTTGGACGTAGGTCCTTGAGAGGTTCTTGGGTTCATCACAAGATGAATGATGAAAATTAAATATTAAGATATAGAGCAGCCGTGTGTTTGCAAGCAAAAATATATACGGGGTGTTCCGAAAGTTTATGACCTACTGAAATTAAAATAGAGCCGATATTAACGGGAATATATTTATTTATTACATTCCACGTGTTCAATAATATCATAGGTACCAACTCCTACGATATTACTTGACATGACTTCCTCGGACCCGCAGGAACCTCGGATCAGCGTCCCGAAGTTCTCAACCAACCGACGGATGACACTCTTTGCGTCGGTTTCTCACTCCACTGAGAACTCCGGAAATGGCTGACGCCCGGTTTCTGAGGTGGAGCTGACGCAGGGCGCTCTGCTGGAACCTGTTCCATAGGTGTTCCAGGTATTAAGGGCCAGAAAGTTCATCGGTAACGTCTTCTAGACCTATACTCTCTCTTCGATGGCGTGGAACTCGAAGCCAGCCGTGTGGCATGGGGCTCCGTCCTGCATCAGCACGGCCTTTTCTTGGTATGAGCAGATCATACAGATGTTCATGTGGCCCCTGTGTGTATAAGCAGGATGTTTTCACACTGTCTGACATTGGATTAAGCCATATTTTGTGGGGGTGGGTCAGAATCCTTCGGAACACCCTGTATACATATTTTAAAATTCATGAATCAACGTGAAAAGTTTTCATCTTTGAAATTTTTAACCTTTGAGCTCATGCTCATGGCCGCAGCACGAGAGACGCCTAAAATATAATAATCACGCCGAAAGTGTTTCAATGGTCAGAGGAGAAATTGTGCTACTATTAACATATGCTTTACTTCCGAGAAATGCTCAGCAAATAGGAACCTGGATGCAACATCCTCTCGTTAGACTTTGTGAATGGAAAACGTTTAAATGGTCGCCATTGCTACTCGTATCTGTCAAGCAAGATTCTAAAAAGGAAATGTTGGTGTAAAGAAACTAAACGTACGTAGCAGGCTCCGCTGTTCGCGACATCTCCCCGCACGCAAATAATCGTCTCGTCGGTGAGGGAGGTGCAGGAACTGACGTCTGCTGACACCGTCACGTCCAGTTTTTGCAAGAAGTCCGTTCGTGTCGTGCCTGCAGAGTCGACATTCCCCCAGCCGTAGATCTTTTGGTCGCAGGCGGAGATGACCTTGCCCAGGACGGCGTCGGTGGTGGGGAAGCAGATCGGCTGGATGCTCGGGGTGAAGGTCAGAGGCGTCCCCAAGTGAAGGAGGGCGATGTCGTGCCCGTTTAAAAAATTATCTACCGGTAGGATTGAACGAAGAAGCCTCCATTGCATGGAACTCTTTTTAAGACATTTAATACATTTCTTGGGTTTCATGCGCTACTGTATTCACTACTTGGAGTGCATGAGATGAGGTGAGGTGAAAAGAGAGAATGTCATCTCACTTTTGTCGAAAGCCGCATTAGGTATGATTTTATCTGCAGCATGAGACTCTCCGATCTTCTTCTGTGCATTCCCCACATAAGCTGTTGCGCGAGTGGCCGAAACGCTGCAAAGAACACTTTCTCTCACTTAACTTGGAAAATAATGCATACGGGCCACGTGCATGGACCTCAGCTGACGCTGTACTGACTTTAGAGGCTTCAAAAGAGTGAGGGTGCTCTGTAAATGTTTATTAGAGATTCATAAGCAACAATGAGCATCAACACACACACAAGGATCATGAAGGAGGAGAACATTTTGATTTAAAAAAAAAATGCAAGAGTGGAAGACCAGTAAGATCAAAAGAGCTGCTCTTGACTTCCAAAACACCGAGACCAAAATGTAGCAAAATCCGCAGCATTGCTTCCGAAAATTAATATCCGTATCTATTTCTCATAATACTAGCAAGAAAGCTACCGAAACTTAAAATCCTTGCAGAAAAGATCTCGAAGAAAATATCTGGTGCGTCGACGGCAGCTCTACGGGCCGAGTTTTCTCCGAGCTTCTATTATTTGCTCCAGCGATTCCGTTTTTCACACGCGCATACTTTCAGTACTCAGATCCCAAAATTTTGAACCTCGCAGAGGAAAGAAGGTCCTCTTTACTGCTTTTGCCTCCCATCAGAAGAAAAAAATATGAAAAGACTCTAAGACAGTGGTTCTCAACCTTCCTTTTACTCCCATTGAACCTTCATGCATTCGGGGGGGGGGGGGGGACACCTCCCAGGTTGAGAACCACTGCTCTAAGAGAAACCAATTGGGAAGAAGGCACGGACTGACTTGTTTTTGTCGACGACGCAGTGAGCGGCAGTGAGGATCCACTGCTCGCCGACGACGGAGGCACTGCAAGCTGCACTGCTGCCGTCAGCGAAAGACGCGTCGATGTAGGCCATGAAGGGGGCTTCCGTGATGGTGGCCGGAGACCCGTTGAAGATGAGATCGTCTTGTCTTCCCAGGTCCAGGTTTCCCATCAAGAATCCCAGAAAACCGTTCCATACTCCATAAAGCGACGTTCGCCTTGTCGAGACTGCGCTCGACTGCCCACACGTCGCGGTCGTCACTGAACACGAATGACATGCCCTGTTCAATTTTATCACCGGGGAGATTTATCCTATAACTAGTTGCTAAATTTAAAATTTGGTCGAACTGGTTTCTGCTTGATCTTGATGCTGAGGTCCCGGTGAAATACGAATTATAGGCTTCATGTACCTAGTAATGATTGCGAGTATTTGTCTCCTCCATTCCCACAATCTTCCGCCGTTGTCACCTTTTTCTATGATGCTATATTTTCTGAAGTTTTTTTAATTACTATTTGAGTACATCAACGAAAGTACTTTGATAAGAAGTCCCTGATACACTTGACAAGTCCTCGCTAACAAATTAGCCAATGTGGTAGTACACGGGACGATTTTTTCCAAGGGTTTCATTTACTCACTGCTACCAATCACATCTCGAGTACTCAAACTTTTTAAGCCGAGAACCGCATCCAGACGTAAGCAATCTCACGCGGGAGCTACTGAAAAAATGTTATTGATACTAATAATAAATAAAATTCCCTGAAAAGTCCAGTCTTGCGGACGGCAAGCAAGACCTTCACGAGCTGTCGTTTGAGGACTGCCGTATCAAGTAAATGGAACATTTTATTTCGATGAGTGCCTGTGCAAAAATATCGCAAATATGTAAGAATGACGGCTGCATTCAGGCACCACCTGAAACACGCCCTACGAGCTATTATTCCTTTCCGGCTCGGTGGATCCACATGGACCCATTAATTTTCTCATTTAATTTTCTGAATGAGAAAACCGAATATAGCCCTACCACCCAAAAAGAACCTCGAGCCATGAAATATACAAAACCAACAGGATTCCGAGCCCATGTATGAGGAAGAGAAAGCCTCCTTTGCGGATGGGATGAGCGGGGGAGTGAGCATCCCCCCGAGAGGAATTCTGGTTCAGACGGGGGTAGAGAGGAAGGGATTGAAAGGGAAGAAACCAGACAGGGAACCGATTTCCCCGATCCTTCAACCGCGGGGAACAACTTCATTCGTGATCGACTCTCTTCGCTGACCAGTCCGTAACAAATATTAGAATAAGTTTTCGGCTTTGCGTGAATGAAATGCCATTATCAAAAAGGAATATCTGCACACTGCCTCCCAGACGGCTCATCGAAGGGAGAGAGACACCAAACGGAACTTCCTCATTAACGCCAGGAGGCAAGGAAATTTTGGCTTGCATGCACACAACATTTATCGATTGGATCTCCGTCCTTCTACATCAGAGAAATTGGCGTCGATTTCAATGCGATGGCCAGCATATAATCCGTTCGAAGTAACTGCAAAGAGGTCTCGCCCCAGTCAGCAGTGTATGGCCATAGATCGGCGAATCTGCGTAAGCCGTGGCGTTTCTGTGGCTCTCCAGTGGTTAGACCATCTGCGGTTCAGGAAGGTCTTGCACTTAGCCCGCGCTTGGCGGACATGGGTGTTTCACGCACGAGTGCAATCCGACCGAAGATGAATGAAGACTTCTGCAAACGCTTTGAAGCTTTGATGAGAACCGTACGTATCATTTTGATCACGAGATGCATAACTCAAAAATGACCGCGAAGATTCAATGCGCCAAAGTTGCAGTTACTATTTTTTTTGGGAAATGTTGAAGTTCCCCTCCGTGCTACTAGATGGAGGTGTGTGTCTCGCTTTTCGCACAGTACGCAAAAGTGCCTTCCCTCTTTCCTTGGAATCGTCCATCATAGGAGTGTTTAGTAACTCACCGTATGTTTCGCCTAATCTCATTATGGAAATGAATGAACGCGGGCACTTCATCATTTGTTGTCCCCATTTTCGAGACAGATTCATGGAGCCCAGGCTGTAAACAAGCTCATATTCCAAATAATAAGCCTTTACTTAGAAAGGGTTAACTCATCCAAAAGGAATTCTAGAACAACGTGTACGCGGATATACTTGCCCTGAAGTCGGAATGAGGAAACTAGGTTTTGAATTAGCGCATACTCCATGCAGCATCGAGGGATGGACCTTTCCCTGAAACGTACTACAGGGTGGTCCAAAAGTCTCCATACATATGGAAAATTAACACTTTTTAAAAAAAGTGTAACTTTAACATAACGCATAACACCAGATGTATTAACGCGAGTTCACCATGAATGGGAGAGTTGCATCCGTATGTGTTTTCAAAGTAATGGCAACCATGTAGAGCATATTTTGTGAATAAAGTTACATTTTATTAAAAAGTGTTAATTTTCCCTATGTATGGAAACTTTTGGACCACCCTGTATAATTAGTACTACGATTAGGTTGCCGCAGAAAAACCGGACAAATATGGAGTGGCATATGCATACACCTCGTTCGTGCCATGCTTGCACATGTAGATACGCAATCATGACCCTGCTTGTCGCGGACTTGCCATACACATAAGCCACACTAGGCCAACAGATGTATCAGACTGGGTGTCACAGAAAACCCTGACATTTAGGTTACGCCTTGTACATATTACACCCGTGGCGCACGTGTACGTGTGTGGCTCGTGAACGTGAGCCAAGCCTGGAACATCTGACCGTGCGGAGGTAAACACACTTGGCTCGGGGATGAAATTATTGCTGTCTGGGACTAGAGAAATCTTTTTACACTTTCTCGATAGAATAAGTGCCATGATTGGGCCAGAGAACGAAGCTGTCTTCATCGCGGATAACTGTATGGCTCACCGAAGGTTAATTCCAACATCCTTTGTCATCCAATTTCGTCCTCCATATATTGCCAATTTAAACCCCATCGAACTCGCTTTCTCTCCATTCAAAGCAGGTGAAGAGACATCTAAGTTCTCTGTCGGTTTCCATTGCAGATACAAACCGAGCCCGAAATCATTCTTGAACAAAATGTGCATGACGCAATTGAGGGAGTCTAACACTGTCGATTTATGCCGCAGAGCACATCGGCCGATTACATAAACAGGTGGAGAGAAAAGTAATTTCTGCCAAAGTCGTTCTTTTCCATGTTGAGGAAGAAAATGGGACTTTTTTGTTCACTCTCTGGCTCGTCTCTCCTTCCCTGTCACGACGTGAATTCCTCTCGGGGGAATGCTCACACCTCCGCTCACCCCAACCGCGAAGGAGGCTTTCCCTTCCTCATGCATGGGCTCTGATTCGAGTCGGTTTGGTATAGAATTTACCTACATGGTGCTGGAAGGAATGACGGACCCAGAAAAGATTAAAGAAATTTGTGTGGATTGTTGAAGTTTTCGATCTCACAAAGAAGAAAGCGATAAAGAAGTCGGGAAGGGAGGATGTCAAATTAGTGGAGTCTTGCTAGGCAAAGAAATGGTGGAAACATTTTCGTGGTCAAAGCTTTTTACAGTCGCCCTTCCATCGGCCTTAAGGTCTAAGGAGAGTGTGAGAAAGTTTGGAAAAATAATGGCCCAGAGTGACTCAGCATGAGTCAATGTGAGCCAGATACCAGACACCACACACACGCGCGCACGCACGCACGCACGCACGCACACAAACTCGCGTGCACGTGCTAATAATTGCATCAACGACCTCGTTTCATTTTCAGCGAAGTGTCTGGGAAGAGACAGAACGAGGCAAGTAATACATGGACCGATATGATGTCAAAAACGCTGTAAGTTACCATTAAGATGCGCTGTTCGCAGATCGTGGAGGTACTGCAGCTCCAAGACTGGAGAGAGAAGTGAAGTTGCAAGGCCATGAAGGGGGCTTCCGTGGGGTGGCCGATAGGGATGAGTTTCTCCTGACTCTCCCTATAGGCTCCGCGACGGATTTTGCTCCTATTCTTGACAGTGCCCACGTGAATGCACTTTTATTGTACCTCTTTTTTTTTCAATTAACTTTTTTTTCTTGCACTTGCCTCAGAGGTGAATTTTCTTTCAGGTTTTTTTAAATTTATTTTGCAGTGAATAGTTTGCAAGGGAACTCCGGGTACCATGATGAGAGCTACTCGTCGGCGGCTCGACAAAATTCCATATTCCTGACTTCAGCGATTTAGGTAACATTTAGATGCAAGGAAAAACTTCCGGAGGACATTACATGCACATATGACACATTATCGACGTAATTTGCATCTGGCACACATCCGGTTCCAGATACCTGGCTCGCATCAGCTATCGAACATCTGGCCACCTCAGACAAAAAAAAGCCCATAAAACGCGAAGTTGGATCATCAGCACTGGAGATACATTTTGGTTCTTCGTAACTCCATGCCTCCAGTCTTTCGGACTGCAGGTGAGGTCCCGTGCTAATTTATTCGAACAAATGGATCAGCGAGCAGGGAAACGGATACGAAGGAGTCCACCAAATTAAATTTGAAATTATAAACTCATGAAAAACCGGCTTCGAAACGAAAGCCTGCTTCCACTCGAAAGCCCATGCGGAAGTTCGATTAACTGAAAATGTTGCATATCCTCGATCGGAAAATCGTCATTTAATCGGGAAACCGAGAATGACGAAAATGTACTTACGTGACAGAGCCGGAGGAGCATTTGCAGGACAACTAGCCGATGTTTTACCCTCCACATTTCCATCCGAGAGGAGGAAAAGGAAAGCCGAGACCCTGCAAGCCACGACTCCTCTCATGCTGTTCTACGAATGCACCGAGGAAGACTGAAGGAGGGGGAATGATTTTTTTTTTTAGTGATTGTCACAATTCATTCGTCTTCCACATGGAAGAACAAGAAGAGATCCGGGTTCGAGAGAACGTTGAAAAAAAATCCAGCCAATCCCTCTTTGAAAATCCTTTGAGAGATTCTGCTGTTTTTATCGTATATAAGTACTATTTCTCCTCTTCGCGTTTCACAAACCCCAGTACGACTACCTTGTCTACAAAAATATTGCTCTTTCGTGCTCCTCACCTTTGCATGGCAGTGGAAATACTTTTTTCTTTTTATATCTATAAATACAGGGAGTGCCAAAAGTAGGTATACAGTTGCCTATTTTATTTTTATTTTTATTTGCAGGTGGTTAATAGACAGTGATGGCTGGGAATATGACGTTTCATCAACTGAAGAGGGTACTCAATATCTGAAGACCGAGAATGCGAAATCTGTCCGGACGAAGTGGCGTGTTTCTCTCTCTTACGCAGTTCATACATACAACTGTAAACCTACTTTTGGCACACCCTGTATATTATGTTTGGGCGTCTGTATGTCCGCAGTGTCACGTGCGCATGCGCGGCGCCTTCTGCCGGGCACCCAGGTGTCTGTCTCGCTCTCTCGAGCGAGCACTTTCCCTCCGGCTGTCGGATCCATTCTCGAGAAAAAGGAAAGTAAGGAAATGTACGTCTTGCGTATCCTCCCTCCCCACCGCTTAGGGGGTGTTCACACATCGAGGCGGAAATTCCCGTAGGGACGTGTAAAACGTCCCCGCTTATAACACTTGGAGTCCCCTTTCATCCCGCTGGAGTAAGGATGACTTCCTTGCCGGGATGAGATCTCGGCCCCTTTATCGATCGGAACCCAGTTTTCGTATCGATCGGCACTCTCACAAGGAGAGTGACTGCCTAGGATGAAAGCGGCGGGATTCCATCCGGATGGGATAAAACAGGAGCGCTTACCCTTGGATCAGAAAGTCACCGCCGGCCGCGTAGTAACAATCCCGTTTCTCTAGCGTATTTTCACTCATAGACCTACATGAAAGGTGGTGGACATGAACTTTACGGATGATACGCACAGGATCGCGATCGATACGGGATAAGAGTGCCGCTCGATAGAAGTTCGTACCGTAGACATGAACGTCCCCGTGGGTAAGGGGGAGGGGGGTATGCGCGAGACGTACTATGTCCGAGCGGCTGCTGCGTAGAACGTTAATAGGGCCGCTGATTAGACTTGTGAATACCCGAAAATGCTCCACGCTTTGCGTCGGCCGACACGGAGGTCGTGGATGTCTTCCACGGGTCGGGGTCTCCGTCTCGCTCGAGAGCGAGCAGTTTCTTTCGAGCCTTCGCGACTGTCGGATCCGTCCTCGAGAATAAGAGAGAGCAGCTGCCGCGTAGTGTTCAAAGGACCGCTGACTGAACTCGTGTATTCACGACAATGTTACACGGTTAGCCGAGTCCAGAGATGTCAACTTGATTAAGCTGGGGGACGGATGGAACCCTCTAGGAGTGGTTGGGTCCAGATTATCAAATCTTAAACTGAGGTTTCAATCGCTAAGAAGTTGAAAACGTCTACTCTTATCCAAAACCAACTGTTGAAGAGGACTTTGTGGTCCAGACGAAATCAATTAGCTGGCCGGCAATTAGACACCCTTGGCTTAGACCGACCCGAAGTTCCTGGAATTCTTTCACGGGTCATTCTCGAAGGCAGGATAGAGCGGCCGCTGCTGATGTCGTTGAGAGGGCCGCTGAGTTTTAGGTCCGTCGACTAAAGTTGTGAATGCCAGAGAAACAGTTTGTGGAAGGCTCACGCGGGTTAGGGTGCCAGTCACACGAGCTCGAGCTCGCTCTTTCTCTCCGGTCTTCGCGACTGTCGGATCTGTTCTTGAGAACGGGAGAGAGAGTCATTGAGAGCCTTGAGCCCCCCTCCCCCAACAAAGGGGTGTTCACCCCTCGATACGAACTTTCATGCTGGAAAACCGACGTACAACACTTGGAGTCCCGTTTTCCTCCGCTCGGAGAGTAACTCCCGAGTGTGAAAGTGGCGGGATCCCATCTGGGTGGGATAGAACAGGGAGGGGAGGGGGGGCTGATCCTTGGATCACCAGGACGCCACCGGTCGCGTCATTACCATCCCCCTTCCATATTTGTATTTTTCACTAATAGGTTTGCATGAAAAGTGATGGTGATGGACTTGACGGTCGATGCGGACAGGGTTGTGATCAATAGGAAAAAGTGTCGATCAATGTGAGTTAGGGGATCCGATCAATAAAGAGAAATAGCAGTTTCTGCCCATAGCGTTGAGAGAGGCTCTGAGTTTTCGGGCCGCCGAATGAACTCGGGAACTTTTTCCAAAGAGTTTGTGGAAGTCTTCCACGGATCGGCTAGTTTCAATAATAATGTGAACAGTGAAAGTGAACAAAATTTGTATTTGTTTTTTGCCTCGTGCCTGAATTTAGCGTGCAAATCTATTTTTGAATCTCCTGAAATGAGCTGTATTTACTCAGGAGAAAGTAAAACTACTCATGCATTAAGCTGTCTGAACAATTGTCTTAATTTGGACAGAAATTGCAAACGAATGAGAAAGGGTGAAGTCTTTACCAGCAGTAACAATTACGAGGGCTACGCAACAGCATATCTGCAGTGTAGTCTTCCGAAGGCGGAGCTCACATTTCCAAGGGAAAAGAAAGACATGAGCTCGATGAAACTTCAATGAATCGACATGTTTTTTCTGCATGTCGACATGCCTATCGACATGTTTTTTCGAAGCGAAGCTCGATGTGTAAGGGTTCTTCTTTAAGGATTAAAACTAAATTCATGAGAACCTTACCTTACACGTCCGAGTCCTGGTGGACTTGCACTTTTTCAACATACCTCGTAATGCCCCCGTAATGCGATGTCCAAGATATGCCACCTGCACGCATTTTCCGACACGCGTCGAAGCGTCTCATCGAGCTGCTCTCAGCTCCATCTCGGTGCTGAATGGATGTCCTCTCGGCTTGTTCTTCGATTTGGGAAAGAAGGAGATGTCAGAGGGGGTCAGAGGGGGCCAGAGGGGCCAGAGGGGGCCAGGGAAACGCATGGTAGGGCTTTGGTACCGAATGGAGCCATAGCTCCTTGCACTAATCCAGTATTCTAATTTTTTCCAGTGTACTCCACAAAAAATAGGACTCCACTTGTGCAGTTGCGATTGTTTTTATTCCCATGCTTGTTGCAAGACAGAAACAGAGGATCGGAGGACTTACGGAGATGTAAAGTAAAATCCAGCAAATGACTTCATAACGTGGGCGAGAAAAATCAATTCGTTCTTTCGTTGTCACTACAGTATGCAAATGTGAAAGTGCAAATGTGAAAGTGCAAATGTGAAAGTGCAAATGTGAAAGTGCAAATGTGAAAGTGCTCTGTGGAATGTGAATTTGCCCTAAATCGCTCACACAGGCAATACGATATTATTCTCAACTGCCATTTATACCATTAATTCCAACCACTCATCTTTCACAGTTCTCTAAGCACTAAAATGAATGTTTGCGTACGGCCACAGATTTCTTTTCGGTGAAATTGCAAGGAAGAATTGCTCAAAGAAAGTACTTGAATAAATTAGCAACTCGAAATTTAGAAGGGAGAAATTTTTTGGGGGCGATACTCCTGCAAGCGAGCAATTTCTCAGCAAAAGTAACAATTTGGAATGAATATACATTTCAAATTCAGGTACTGAACAGGGTTTGGATCTTCAGTGGTACTTTGATAGAAACATAATAATAATAATTCGTGTGTGTGTGTGTGTGTGTGTGTGTGCTCGCGCGCACCTTAAGGCCGACAAACGGGTGGTGATTCATCCAGACGTCTGTACAATACTTTGGACTGAAGAGCTATATTTGGAAGTTCTGGTATAGCCAGAGATGAAAGAGCCGCAGCCTGGGGTGTAGACGTACGAGGTCACTCCGGTGACATAGGCTCGACCACCATATCTCACCACCAGGGGTCCGCCACTGTCTCCCTATGTTCACAGACGAAAGAAAGAGAATGTCGGATAGATATTGGCACAATATCTCTGAGTGATAGGTTCACCGAATAGTTGGGCCCATGGGCCATTTCGCATGATGAATCGTGAAAATGTTAATACATTTTATTTTTTATATTTTGAAATACATCTTCATGAATTCTTCTATACTCTTGTTTGAGCACGAAAAAAAAGGGAAAAATTTTCAAGCCATGAATTCATATGGAAAAATTCAGCATTATGTATGGTGGTCTCTTACTCTCCCTCTCAACCAGTTCACACTCATGGTCGAAGCAAATGCATCGCCCAAGGATGCAATTATCAGGCTCCGCCTGATAGGTTTTCCTACTACTAGGAAAACAGGTTTTCCCAGGTTTTCCTACTAGGAAAACCTGGTTGCGACCTCTCCTATTGCTTGAACAGTCTTGTTAAAACAAATAAAGCTATAAATGTAGGATAACGGTGACTTCTTTACAGACTCAAGGGCCAGACTGGCAAGTGGTATACATGGCAATCCTGTTATGTAAATTTATCAAATCTATTTCTGGTAAATAAATGTTGAGAGAAAGAAGACATACGTGACAGATTCCGCTGTTTGAGACGTCTCCCTTAGCACAAATGACTGTCTCATCGGTGCGAGTTGAACCACAAGGGCTGACGTCCGCCATCACAGTCACGTCCAATTTTTGCAGGAATTGTGTGAAGTGCTGGCTATCGACGTCGAGTGCCCCCCAGCCGTAGACCTTCTGGTCGCAGGCGGTGATGGCCGTGCCCAGGACGTTGTCGGTGGTGGGGAAGCAGATCGGTTGGATGCTCGGGCTGAAGGTCAGAGGCGTCGATAAGCGCACGAGAGCGAAGTCGTGACCGTTCTCAGGGTGAACTGCGAGGAGGATTAAACAACGAAGCTTCCATTAAAAGGAAATCCTCCATTTTGCACCGTAATTCTTGGGTTTCGTGTTTCAGTGCAAATAGTCTGTCGATGTACACACTTCGTGGAATTCATGAGGTGAAGTGATGAGAGAGAAAATATTCTTACTAGAGATGAAATCTCCATCAAAGGCTCCACCACTGAAATCGTGGAACTCTCCAGCCATCCAATCTGCACTTCCCACCCTGACCGTCACAGTAGAGGCGGTAATGCTGAAAGAAAATCACCGAACCTTGCTCGACTTGAAAACGAAAGTATTTGAGTTTTATTTACAGTTCTCACCTAATGCAGTACCTACTTTCCCGTGATGCTAGAGATCATTATTTTCAATGGACAATGGAGTCGTAACAGAGTTCGAAACGCGTTAGTTCAGCCCTGTGAATTTGTAAACTAGTTTCCTCGTGCAAGGATTCAGGCGTGAAATCGTAGGACCCCTTGCGATAAACATATTGGGCTCCCCGGTTCGGGAGATTTTCCCCTCGCTCGTCCTCTGTCATTGGAGTTGTGAGTTGCACTCTTAAGAGCGAGGCACACGTTAGGATACACTGGCAAGACTACAAATATAAACTAATCGCAGGGTTTCAAGAGCATCAAGTGCATCTGGTAGAAGTAGATTCCAGTCGACAATTTTCGTTGGCTTATCGTCGGACCATTGCTGGGGAAGTTGACCCATCTTTGGCGAATGATTTGCCGGCTAACTCACATGTGTGAGTTGGCGAAGGCGTGCCTGGTGCCTGGCGTGCCTGGAGTATCTGTCTTTCCAGGTGGAAAGACAGATACTCTTGCATTCCCGTGTGCTTTCGATCCTGGATGCCTTAGCATCCGGAAGGGATGTTGCTTGGGATATTATCAGCTCTTGGCGATGGGAGTGTACCTGTGTAAAGGGACTCGACGGTACGACGTTCGCTAGCCCTCATTCCTTAGGTACTTCACCACGCGAAAAAGCTGCTTACCAATATTATTCGGAACAAATACGATATGAGCGGAACCGATATTCCTCTCGCGAGTTCCTTGATGACTCGAGTAGGAATCCCGTCGGGGTCGGTCGCCTTCCCCACCTTTAACTTCCCTATCATACTAATGATCGTTTCCATGGTGATGGAAAGATTCACAAGGTCCGCCGAAGTGACCTCCTCCAAAGTCGGTGCTGAGTCGGATTCCATGGTGAAAACGGAAGCGAAGAACTCGTTAAATATCACTGCCATACCTTTATTACTTGCAATCAACTCCCCCCTGCCGTTCATTAGAGGCCCGATCGACTGCTGACGCCTACCTTTAGCATATCGATAAAAAGCCTTGGGGTTCTTTTTAGCATCACCATGCAGCGGTTCCTCTCGCTCCTGTCTCGCAGACCTCATTTCCCGCTTCAACGTCCTCGTGATCCTCCTATATTCCTCATAATCCGTTCTATCTCTCGTGCGCTTATGCGTATCCCACTCCAATTTTTTTTATCCCTGATGAGTGCTTTAATTTTACCAGTAAACCTGATTTTACCAGGCAACCAGTAAATCGGTTGTCTGACCGATTTCATGGACTTCTTGGGGATGCATTCCTCCATAAAGCCCTGCCATAACGTCTTGAACGCCCCCCCATTACTCCTCTACCGTCAGCCCACAGAGCCGCACCTCCCAATCGATGCCTCAAACGCATTCACGTAACTTCTCAAAATTAGCCTTCTCATAGTCGTACGAAACCTTCGTCGGTTTGGCCTTGATATTGATATTCCACGCGATCGCGCAGTGGTCCGAATCTTCCAAGTTATCCTGTACCTTAACGTCTCGTGCCAGATCGTCGTCGTTCGTCGCGAAAACTAAATCCAATAAAGCTTCCTCGCGAGTCGGTTCTTCTACGTGCCGAACGAGAAGAGCATCCTGAACAGCAACGAGAAATTCCCTACCCCTTTCGCTCCCCCCTCGCAGCACCGACCAATCTATCGATGTTAGGCGTGTTAAAATCTCCCAAGAGTAATACCTGCTTCGAGATGTCGCCAATCTTACGCATCAGTGCAGAAAAGCTGTTTCATCCTCGAGAGAAGAGTTTGGGGGCCTATAGGAAATTCCTAGCACGATCTTCCCAGTTGCCCCACCGATCCCGCACCATAAGTGTTCGATTGCGCCATCGTTAGCCGTAGTGAAATCTTCTCCGACGCGAACGCCCAGTTCGGTTCTCGTTATGGTTGGGGCATGTGCGGTTTCCTAACAACGAGCCAGAGTCAGATGAAGGGCCAACAGGACATACCCGACCGTAAGTCGGCTTAAACCAACCGTAAGCCAACCATATGCTAGCGATGGCCCGACTAAGATTTATGTGCGTGTCGACGAAAAGCCATCGGTGGCCCGATGGCAATTTTTTGACCGGGACCCAGACTGCAACGCTCATCGACAAACCCAATCAACATCTGAACTCGCCCTATCACCACTGCTAAGTGCTTCCCAGTCTAAAATTCAGTCGTTTCAACATTTTCGACTCCTTTCACGTCGCCCAGGAATTCAAAAAGTGACACGAATTGAGCAACTGGAAACGATCTGTTGCTTTTCTTCGAGCACAATCTTGCAGGATTCTGCCTTAGTTAACATGGTATAGATGTATAGATGCAACATTTCTTCTTTTCAAAAGTAAAACTTCCCTCTCACAACGTTCACCTTCGCTGCAGCAGCAAATAATAGGCGACAAAATATGTAATTAATATGATCGATCTAATAATAGCCAACGTCTGTTTGTATGCGTGCGGGCGCGTATGTGTCTATTTATCTGCCCACTGAATGCCTGCATTGGTCGATTTTTTGAAAAACGAACTGATCGGCCCGATTCGATTCTTGGCCGACACAAAACCGATCGGTCCTACCCGCAGCCCGTTTAGGCCTTTAAGCGACAGTACTTGGGGTCTCCGATGAGATCTCCGCTTTCACCCGATTCGAAACCAGATTGCCGACCCTGCTGCACGCCCGATCTGCAGGGCAAGTCAGAAAAAAAGTTGATCTGCATCCCGTGCATAGCTATTGTAATCGTGGTCGTGGTCGTGGACACACTGATCCGATACGAATGAGGTACCGATGGACTTATTTCGTTCAGGAGGAGTCTCAAGTACGACAGTGCTGGAAGCAATAACATGTCGATACCTTCCGAAAACACTGGGCCTTCTCGCCTATCATCTCTGTGTAATAACGCGCGACGTTTGTAGGATGGTCTGTCCGCCGATCCACCCTTCCTCCCGACCCCTAAGGCCTGCAGGGATAGATTTTTAAGAAATCGGCCCCATCGTCATCATCTCAATACGGGTTTTGATCTGTACCAGATACGAAAGACGATTTTCGACCGAACTTCACGACCCGACCGGCGGGCCGTGAAGGACTCTAAAGCACATCACCCAGGATCTCTGCCAACAGAAGGCATCCGTTTCATCGCATAACATCTCGGTGTTCCGAATTCCAATGGTGTATGTCCTTTGACTGCCATGGGATGGAAATCAATTTACCACGAGTAAGAAACTGAATATTTTACGGGAAGAAGCTAGTGCGTGCAGTGCTCAGATGAAAGAATTTGGAATCAACATTAACCTGCTGTTGCGGATAAATGAGAAAGTTGACTTTTCGGCTCTTACCTTCCTCCCCCCGCAGAGAGTCCTCGAATTAATGGTCTCTGAGAAGAGACACGATAATGAAGGAGGCATGCAGTACGGACTGACTTGTTTGGATCGCGGACGCAGTGCGCAGCAGTGAGGATCCACGTCTCGCTGATGATAGAGGCACTGCAAGCTGTACCGTTGCCGTCGGGGTAAGAAGCTTCGATGTAGGCCATGAAGGGGGCTTCCGTGATGGTGGCCGGGGCCCCGTTGATGATCAGGCCTCCTTCCTGTCTGCTAAGGCCCAGGTCACCCAAGAAGGTCTCCAGGAATCCGTTCCACAACCGATAAAGCCAGGTTCGCCTCGTCGAGATGGCACTCGACTGTCCACAAGTTGCGGTCGTCACTAAACGTGGAGGATTTATGTATCAGCTCCCAACCCAATACTATCATGAGGGTTTCTTACTCATCACAGACCACCAACTTAAAAGTTGGTGGTCTGTGATGAGTATATAAGTACTGGATAGCTCTGTCTAATGGTATTGCGTAGATTTCCTGACGTCCAAGTGATTAAGGAAAATGCACGCAAATGCGACAATTGTGGATATATCCCTCTCTGGCGTCGTTCATCACGTTAGTCTCAGTGGTTCTCTTTCCAGTAGTTGTTAACCATAGAACTGCCAACTGTCGATAAAATCGACGTTGGTAGGCCGCCGTGCCGCTTCTGGCAGTTCTGGGGTTAAATAGAGCTAGAGTATGCCAATGGGGCTCGGAAAAGAAAACAATTATTTAAGCAGCAAGCCCCTGACTGGAAAGGTACAACCGAGTTTCATCGAGCGTCCTAATATACTTGTACCTTTCACCGGTGAGGTGGCGCTCGCATAATTTTCGCGTATTTGTATCCCTCTCCATGATGTGTTTTGGGCAGACGACATGGACTTTGGCCGTGTTTTCCTTACATTTTGAGATTCTCGCGAGTGACCCTACTGACAGTTCCTTCGAACGCCGGCGTTCTCTTGGCTGGGTTCATTTCAAAGTCCGCGAAATGGATAACTTTAGACGGAAGCTTCTTGTAACGTACCGGTCTTGCGTTACGCTTTATGTCTGAAATTCACGAATTTCTTCCTTTCTCGTCTCTTTACGTTGCAGATGATGATGTGTAAGATTGTTCTTTTGGAAACGCGGGATCCTTTCGAGAAACACGTGCGAGTTTTTATTTCGTGTGCTTTACCTTTCATGGAAAGACGTTTCACGCACATCTCCACGACCCGGTCGACAGACATCATTAAACGCCAACGCAATGACCCCTTATTTCCCATAACAAAAGTTGCCCTTTTGCCCAAGAATCACGTGCCACCCGAAATATATGCATCCCTTTCCCCTATGAGTAAACGCATTTTATAAAAAGGTCAAATAAAGCTGGGGCACCCTCTGTATGAGAACATAATAGTGGGCCGCATAAAAGCGTAAACTAGGCTGCACTTTGAATACCGCTGGTCGTAATGCGAAGACGTAGGAGCCGGGGAAGTGAGGGAGAGGCAAGGTTAGCAAATAATCCTCCCCCCCCCCCTCTTCCCCCCACTTTTCCTAATTGTAAGACTAGCAGATTTACATTCTATTTTGTCCCACGAATATAAGAAATTTCAAGTGTCCTGTGGAATGTTCCGAGTCTTGCCTTCCACCCAGACACTAAAGAACTTTTTATAAGCCTCTGGCGAATTAAAGAAACATCAGACCGAAGATCTCTCTCCCACAAACCCGCCGGCATCGATTTTCAAAATTGAGGAGGAAACACGAAGGCACGACTCTGATAAGGTTTAGATACTGCGTCGAATTTCGATTCCATTCCTTCGGCGATGCGGAGTGCAGGGAAGGTTATTTGCTCACGAAGCGACGGTTCAACGAGCGGCACCGATCGACGGTTCTCCACGGTGCATGGTCGCTTTTTAAATGCATACAGAAGTGGCACGAGATGCCTTTATGGTCTTAGGTTAAAATTCTGTCGTAAAAGGTCGGAAGTTGTCATGCCAAACATAAAAATTTTTCGATTGTCTGATGGATAAAAGTTCGGGGAGACGGCGTACGCCGTCAGGCGGCATATCGTGCTTTGCTCAGACGCGTTCGCGAGGGATCGACGAAGCGTTCGCGAGGGATCGGCGACGCGTTCGCGAGGGATCGGCGACGCGTTCGCGAATGCGGTTTCGAGAAAACGTAGCCGGTTTACAGTCTGAATATTTTGGAAAGAAAGATCAAATGTGTCCTATGCTGAGATGTGACACTATGGGATTCATCTTTCGTCATTATTTGGTTTCAAAATGCAGATTCAGTGCATGCGTCCTTTCCAGCTCAAAGACAATAATAGCCTAAAAGTTGCATGGCTAATTTACAATTATGAGCATGATTCGTCGGAAGAATAAGAAGAAAGAGAGCAAACTTACGAGATAAGCTGGGGGGAGCGGGCGGGCAACTAGGAGTGGGACGGGGAGTGGGACTGGGAGTGGGAACGGGACTGGGACTGGGAGTGGGACGGGGAGTGGGACGGGGAGTGGGAACGGGACTGGGACTGGAACTGGTACTGGGACCGGGGCCTGGAATGGGACGAGGAGTGGAGCTTTTGTAGAAGCCCTGCAAGCTATCTTCAGGAAGGAGGAGAAAGACACAAGCCCAAAGGCTGCATGCCAAGACACCCTTCATGCTGCTCTGTAGAGACACTGAAGACGATTGAGAGAACTGTTTTCTGTTTAGTGGCGAGAGGCCCTTGTTGATACAAAAAAGCGATTGTCATTCTGATCGGGAAACCTACGTCGTATTCGGAAGAACGAGGAAAATCCGGGAGAAACTGGGAAGTACGTATTACTTGGGATTCAAAGAAACTCCCCTCTCTTTGAAAACAAAGGCTCCCGGAGATTTAACGCCACCTGTCACAACCCAGGTACGTTTCCACACCACGATCCAGATAAGGAAAAGCCTGCATATTTCCCCTCGAACACCTAACGTCGACTTTCCCCATCTACGACTAGGGTTATAACCATCCACCAACCGCATTTGTATGTGGAGAAAATCATCATAGAAAATTGTTTCACCGTGGATACGAGTCGCCTTTCCCCTAAAACCACATCAAAGGTCGATTTCCGTTCAAGGGAATCTCGGTCCTCATATTCCAAAGGACAGCGTAACTTCTTTATTTCTTCTGGTTTACTTCTCGATTCGTCGAAGACGGACGTAGAAGAGGGATATCGCAGACGGATATATTTTCCTCACCCGACCCGAAACTCGATCACCGAGCCGAGATTCACGGACCCGACCCGCGGGTCGTGTCTGACCGATCGAGCCGGTCCGCTGCCCGCAGAGGCCTCTAAGCTAAGCCTCGGAACTAGAGGTCTCCGCGTGTTCGCATTTGATCGTCAGTGGAGCTGCGCGCGTCATCCGCGGGTCGGGTCGGTCCCTTCGCGCCGTTCCGCATACCGCAATGATTGCCCCCTATTCTTAATTCAATAGCCGGGAATTCGAAACTCGAACTGCCTCACTTGAACTCTACTGGGCGGAACTATCTGAAAACTTGCATACAGGCCATTGAGGGAACGCATCTCCTATTATTGATCCAAAGCGTGATTGTTAGAAATTCCGAAGTTGTGTCTCCTTTGGAAACGATGACAGAACTCTGAACACTGATAATTGCTATAGAGGGAAACTGGAGATCCTTGATGACGGGAAGCATTTGTGAGTTTCAAATTCAAATGGAGTCTTTTTTCAATCATATGGAACGGAACTCCTAGAAAATTGGTATTTGGAGAAATTTGGGAATTTGGGGGGGGGGATGACAGGCCTCAGCATTATTATTGAACCGAAATAAGGCTATTCAAAGTTCCAGCAGAGTGTCTCATTTGAATACTATGGAATATAAGTCGATAAGTCTCAATTAAGAAGGCGTGATTGTTTCACGGGTGACGGCTAGTTTGTTTTATAATAGCCGAGATTTGTCCTGTCCTGTCTGTCCGCCGGAGGCCTGCACGGGTCGACTTTTCTTCACCCGACTCCATCGGCCCGATTCGATTCGTGGCCTGCACCCAACAATAAACTCGATTGCTGACTGAGCTTTGCGGTCCCGACCTGCGGATCTTATCGGGCTGATTGGACCGGTTCGCGGTTCGCGGCCCGCTTAGACCTCTAAGCTGCAGATCTCGAGATTTCCTTCCCCGTCGACACGGCAATATTGATGCAACGTCGTAACAGCATTGAAGTCTCAACATCCACAATGTTGAAGAACATTAATCGTCACATTGAATCAACATTGCCTCATGTTGAAATGAGACAAGTCTCAACAATTTCTCAACATGCATTGCACATGCGCTAATCAAATGGTACATGAGCATGAGCCATTCGATTACTGTAGTATTCCGTGAATCATCAGCGTGATCTGAACGATCTCCCATCTCGACATAGACTCTATGCCGAGATCCGTCATGGACATCCTGATCTTGCTGAAAGATGGAGACAGCAGAGTGATTGCAGCCAAAGAAGAGAGAGCCATTCACTCCATGGATCCTTCTGCGCGACTCGTAGTATCGGATTAGGAGACCCGAATCTGGCTTCCTAAAATGAAAGGAGGCCCACTACTGGACTGTGGTTGCCCATCTTGTTTGAAGATGTGAATTTCATTCCTTTTTTTTCTAATCCCCCTGGGTAGCCAACCCCCCTGGGTAGGGGTTCTCGGAGGTTCAAGACCAACCAAAGGATAGATATTGACTTGTAGGCGACGAAAATCGCTCTTTTTATTGCTTCTGGTGCACCATTCATCATTAAAAAAATGAAATTAGCTGTCGTTCATTAAGGCTTAGCATGATGGCTCCGGTCCTCCAGTGTTGCTGGATATCGTGCCGGAGTATTGTTAGATTCATGACTTCTTCGGCTTTAGTATCGGTGTCTGGATCTTCTGTTTTCTTTGAAATGGGTCAAGAGGGACTAAGCGGCGTATCGTCGGGGAGGGGGCGGAGGGGAGGGGGAGGCACGTACCCCTCCAATAGAGGCCAGAAAAGGAGGAAAACACCCGGAAATGCATGATACCAGTTTCCCAGAGTTCCCCTGCCCCCCCTTTATTTTATTCTTTCCCCCTTCCCCCCCCCCCCCCCTTTTCTGTCCCGTGCCCTCACACTTTTCCCACCCACGCTACTCTTATGGAGTGACTGAATATACCTGCGATTGGCCTAACGTTACACTTCCTCGACGAGATGTCTCCAAGAACAGTGATTAATCTGTATAGGCCTCATTGGCCAAGTAAGTCTAGGATTGAGTTTTTTTTAACGAAAAAAGGTAAGCTTAGGCCTGTCCCGAAGGCAGTCCTTGGTTAGACCTAGGACTGTTAGTCCCATAAAGAAGGGGAGAGGGAGGGGAGGGGAAGGGATTGAAGAAAGGGAAAGCCTTTGAAAAATTGTTTTTACGTTGCTTCATAGTGATCACATGCATAGTGATCGAATGCAATTTAATTTAGAAAAAAAAACATTATTTTTGCAGTAAACATTCAATTTTTTCAGCACACTGTAAATAAAAACTGTTTCGTGCTTCTCACCTTAGCATGGCAATGCAAACATTATTTTTTCTTTCAAAATATAATTCTTTGAATCCGTGCATAACACCTATCATAAAAAGTTATCATTACGAAGCGAAAAAGATATTCAGTGTGTCCTCCAACTTGAACGACTGTTCCTCGATGCCCGCCAACTGCTCGATCGTCCCGAGCCGCTCTTCTAAAAACCTTGAATGTGAATATTATAGTGGATAGTGAATAGTGAACAAAATGAAAACGTTATCTTGCCTCTTGCCGGAATTTAATTAATGTGTAAATCTATTTGTGGCATCTCCTGAAATGAGCTGTATTTAATCAGGGAAAGTAAAACTACTCATGCTCTAAGCTGTCTGAGAAAAAATAAGTCTTAATTTGTACAAAAATTGCAAGCGAATGAGAAAGGGTGATTTTTTTCCCCGGCAGGTTTTTTTTTTTTTTTTTACAAAGGCCGAACTCACATTTCCAAGGAAGAAGAAAGAGATGAGCTTTGCTCGATAAAATTTCGATGAATCTTAGCTGACCGACTTGATTTTCCAAAGCGAAACTCTATATATTAGGGTTGTCCTTTAAATGAATACAAAACTATGCAACCTTATGGTGAACCTGCAATTTTTCAGCAAAATACCCCTGTAATACTGTTGATTCCCCCTCGGCGATGCCCTGCTGCAAGACATGCCACCTGCACGCGTTTTCCGACCATCGAAGCTAATTCATCATGGCTGCTTTATGCTCTAACTCGGTACCGAATTGGTTTCCTCTCAACTTGGTCTTCGACTCGGAAAATGAATGAAGATTCAAGGAGGGCAAGGGAAAGATGTGGTAGGGTTTCGGCGCCGATTGGAGCGATAGCTCCTTAAACTGCTATAGCGAAGCATTCCGTGATATTTTTTCAAAGTGCTCCACAAAAAAAAATGGAATTCCACTATCACAGTTGCAATTTCATTTTATTTCCGTGCTTACAAGATGAAAAAAAATGCATTGAAGGACTTACGGAGAAGCAAAATAAAATCCAGCAAATGAATTCATAGGGTGGGATGGGGAGGGGGGGGGGATCAATTCGTGTTTTCGTCGTCACAATGCAAATGTGAAAGTACTCACCGCAAACGTGAATGTGTCCCGTGCAAAGTGAATGTGTCCCGTCAAAGTGAATGTGCCCTGGAACACTCACTAGGCAGTAAAATATTATTCTCAACTGTTGATTATGGTTATGACATTAATTCCAACTAATTACTTTTCGCAATCTTTCTGAATACCACATGGTAATTTGCGTCTGGCCAGAGAAGTCTTGCTTAGATTGTCAGGGATAATTTACCATTCAGAATTAAAAGTGAACACATTTTCTGAAGATGAAGCTATGAAGTGTGCAATTGCTATTCCAAAGTAACAATCTTGAAATTATGTAATTGAAAGTTAGAATACCTAAAGTAGTGCCATTTGGAAACATGATACCACGTAATCGAGTGCTCCGGCGAATTTCTGTGCGTGTCTTGACGTGCGTGCGTCCGTGAGTGTGTATGTGCGTGCGTGCGTGCGTGTACCTCGAGGCAGATGAGAGAAAAAATGACGCTTTTATCCGAAAACCTGAAGAGCTTGTTGCATCCAATCGGTGTACTTGGAAGTTCTTGTGTAGCCAGAAATGAAACTGTCGCAGCTTTGGGTGCGGAAGTACGAGATGATCCCGGTGACATAGGCTCGATCACCATATATCACCACCAAGGGTCCGCCACTGTCTGCCTACAGTCCGTTCAGAGGCGGAAGGAAAGAGAATGCCTGGTAGACGTTGGCATGACGCCTCTGAGAGGGATTGCATGTAGGTTCACGGAATAACCTATTCTATAGATATTCTAATTTCGCGTGATGAATGCTGAAAATTGTAAAATTATTTTATTATATTCATTTGCTTTTAACATATTTCTTCATGAATATTCGTTTATATGCACGAAAAAAGACTGAAATATTCTCAAGTTGTGCATTCATAGGAAAAAATCCTGCATTATGTGTCACGCTCAGTTTCATCAGTTCACGCTCGTGGTCATCGCCTAAGAGCTCGGTTATCATTGCGAAAAAGTTACAGGAATTAGAGGAAGATTTCCTTAGGATTTGAAACTTTTATGGGCTTTGCCTTCCAAGAATTCTATTTTAAAAATGCCTGGAATCTTCAATTGTTTGAACAGTGTGAATTAAAAAGGCTCAAAGCATAGGAAAATGATGACTGGCTAATCCTAGCTGACTCAAGCTGTCGACTGTACTGTAGATTAATTTACCAGGAAATCCTGCAATTCAAACCTGGGAACCCAATTCTGGAAAGTAATGTGAGAAAGAAGACGTACGTGGCAGATTCCACTGTTTTCGGGAACTCCCGTAGCGCAAAAGACTGTCTCATCATTGCGGATCGAATCACAAGGACTGACGTCCGGAAGCACTGTCACCGACAGTGGAAATTTGTGGATTGCTCGCTCTGAGTACTGAGCGTCCCCCAGCCGTAAACCGCCTGGTGGCAGCCGGTTATGGCCCCTCTCAGGACTTCGTCGCTCGTGGGGAAGCAGATCGGTTGGATGTTCTCGCCGAAGGTCAGAGGCACGCGCGAGCGCAAAACGGCGATGTCGTGACCATTCTCGGGTTGACCTGCGATTTGGATCGAACGAGGAAAATTCCATGCAACACCATTTTTCTTGGGTTTCATGTTTCAGTGCATTCAGTCTTTCGATGTACATACACTTCGTTAAGTTCATTAATTGAGATGATAAGAGAGAAAGCATTCTTACCGAAGTTGAAATTCTCATCAAATGTGAAGTCTAGGACATCGTGGACCTCTCCGTTCCTCTTATCTTCATTCCCCACCCAGACCTTTATTCCAGTGGCCGGAGCGNATTTGAACTGCTTCTGTGCCAATTTTCATTTCAATATATTGATTTTTGCTTGCAAAACATGTCTTTTTAATTTCCATTATAGTTTGTCCCAATTTACCTGCCCCACCCTGTACTTCTGTACTGTACTGAAAGCTACTGTACTCCAGGTCTCTGAGACCGAGATGCATCCTTGAATTTTCACTCCATACACTTGGGTGTTCCAAATTTCAAGTGTCTAATTTAAATGCTGAGACAGAAGTCAATTAGACTCAGGAAGAAGTGAATGTTTCTTGGGTAACAACTAGCTAATAAGAATAATACAAACTGAACATTTTATTAATAATAATTAATAATAAAATTGCTATTCCATGGGTATGAAGCTATTACTCACTGTGCTCAAATGACAGAATTTTGAATCTACACGAATACGAATACGAATATGAACAACAAAGCAGACTTTTCTGCTCTTTCCTTTCACCACTCGCCCCCCACCCTCC